GCTTGGGAGGCCTCCTCGTGGCCGCGTCTGGATGCCCCTCGAAGTGCTCGCCAGGAGGCATTCCAGGGTGGGTCCCGGTGCCCTTCGAGGATCGACCTATCGTAGTGGCCTCCGGCCAGTGCCACCGATCCTGGGCGCTCCGGATCCGCGTCAAAATGGACGACGAAGACGACGACGACGAAGACGACGTTCCTCCTGTTCCTTGTCCTTTTTCTTCTTCTCTTTCCTCCCTCCTTGAAGGCATACTGGATGCTTCTGGGGGCTCATTTGGGGCCTCATGGGCTCATGGGGACCGTCAGACACCGATCCAGGGATGAAAACCTGCACCGGATGGACCGGGGACGAGGGGTCCGCAGACCAACTTTGAGTGGATGCGGAGGAGGAGGATGAGGAGGAGGAGGAGGAGGGAGAAGAAGAGGCGGAGGATTGGACGTGACACTTATGGGCAGCAAAAGCAAGACAATGCCAGCATGGAAAAGATGAGGAAGAGGCGGACAAGGAGGAGGCAGAGGAGAAAAAGGAGGAGAAAGAGGAGGACGAGATGAAAAGAGGAGAAGGAGGAGGAGGAGGAGGAGGAGGAGGAGTCAACGGGAGCAGAAGGATGAGGAGGAGGCGGAAGAGGAGGAGGAGGCTGAGGAGGCGGGAGGAGGAGAAGGAAACCTTCATTGGAGCATCTTGGGAGCCATATTCGAGCCATCTTGGGTTATCTTGGCCCGTCATGGCAGTCAGCCTGGTATCTCTGATGCCCTCTTGGAGCCGTCTTGGACTATCTTAGAAAATCTGACTGCTCGCGGGGCGCCCCGTCCAGGTCCAGGGGAGGGGCTAGGGGGAGGGGTCAAGACACCCTCCTGGATAGCAAGCCGTCCAGCTCCCGGAGCACCCCGGTCCTGGAGCATCGGTGCTGTGACGAAAAGGGACTCGCGGGAGACCCTCCTCCCCCCGATTTTCTCGTCCTCCTCATCCTCCCCTCAGAGGACCGTCCGATCGACCCAGAGGAGATCCGCATTGACCCTGCCGACGACAATCGGTACACGTTCGAGCAGACGCGTGCCCGCTACGAGAAGCAGTACGAGCCGTGGCAGATCAAGGCATGCTCAAATCTCCAGCATTGTGAAAACCTTGCGACGTACCCAACGCATCTGCAACGAATCATCATGACAATGGGCCAGTATCGCCGATGACGGCACGGCAGCGAACGCCAGTCAGTGCGAAAACTAAAGTGGGAAGCTGGAACGTTGCGCGAAACGCGGGAGAGGACCGCTGGACCTCGCTATGCTGGACCTCTCAGGAGCCCACGAGAGTGGGGACAGTTGCGCGAGTGCCAGCCCCCCGAAGGAAGTTCCGAGGTCTCGGCTGAATCTGCGTGACAGAGCCCATTCCGCTGGACCTCCCAGGAGCCCACGGCAGTTGCGACACTTGCGCAGTTGCCAGCCCTCTAGGGAGCCCCGAGGTCTCGGCTGGATCTGCGTGACAGCCCATTCCGCTGGACTTCCCAGGAGCCCACGACAGTGGCGACTGTTTCGCAGTTGCCAGCCCCCCCAGGGAGCCCCGAGGTCTCTGCTGGCTCTGCGTGACAGCCCACTCCGCTGAACCTCTCAGGAGCCCACGACAGTTGCGACAGTTGCGCAGTTGCCAGCCCTCTAGGGAGCCCCGAGGTCTCGGCTGCAAAGCCGTGACAGCCCACTCCGCTTAGCTTCCCAGGAGCCTTTCTCCGGAGCTTACGACAGTGGCGGCAGTTGCGCAGTTTCCAGCCCCCCAGGGAGCCCCGAGGTCTCTGCTGCATCTGCGTGACAGCCCACTCCGCTAGACCTCCATGGAGCCCACGAAAGTGACGACAGTTGCGCAGTTGCCAGCCTCCCAGGGAGCCTCAAGGTCTCGGCTGGATCTGCATGACAGCCCACCCCGTTAGATTTCGCAGGAGCCCACCACAACGGCGACAGTTGCCCAGTTGCCAGCCCCCCAGAGACCCCCGAGAAGCCGGCTGTATCTGCGACATAGCCCACTCCGCTGGACCTTCCAGGAGCACGCGGGAGTGGCGACAGGTGCGCAGTCGCCAGCCGCCCAGGGGGCCCCGAGGTCTCGGCTGCATCTGCGTGACAGCCCACTCCGCTGGACCTCCCAGGCGCCCACGAAAGTGGCGACGGTTGCACAGTTGCCAGCCGCCTTTGGGGGCCCCGAGATCTCGGCTGGATCTGCGTGACAGCCCATTCCGCTGGACCTCCCAGGAGCCCACGACGGTGGCGACGGTTGCGCAGTTTCGAGCCCCCCAGGGAGCCCCGAGAAGCCGGCTGGATCTGCGTGACAGCCCATTCAGTTAGACCCCCAAGGAGCCGACGACAGTGGCGACAGTTGCGCAGTTGCCGGCCCCCCAGGGGAGCCCCGAGGTCTCGGCTGGATCTGCGTGACAGCCCATTCCGTTGGACCTCCCAGGCGCCAACGAAAGTGACGACAGTTGCGCAGTTGCCAGCGCCCCAGGGGTCCCCGTTGTCTCGGCTGGATCTGCGTGACAGCCCACTCCGTTGGACCTCCCAGGAACCCATGACAGTGACGACAAGACTGTGCAGTTGCCAGCCCCCCAGGGGGGCCCCGAGGTCTCGGCTGGATCTGCGTGACAGCAAACTCCGCTGGACCTCCCAGGAGCCCACGACAGCTGCGCAATTGCCAGCCCTCCAGGGAGCCCCGAGGACTCGGCTGGAGGGGCGTGTCAGCCAACTCCGCTGGGCCTCCCTGGAGCCTCTCCCAGGAACCCGCGGATGTGGCGGCAGTTGGATAGGTGCCCGCCCCCAGGGGGCCCCGTGGTCTCGGCTGGATCTGCGTGACAGCCCACTCCGTCACCCCAGGAACCCACGACAGTGGCGACAGTTGCGGAGTTGCCAGCCCTCCCCCCCCAGGGAGCCCGAGGTCTCGGCTGGATCTGCGTGACAGCCCTCTCCGCTGGACCTCTCCAAGAGACCATGAAAGTGGCGACAGTTGCCCAGCTGCCAACCTCTCAGGGAGCCCCGAGGTCTCGGCTGAACCTTCAAGGAGCCCCAACAGTTGCGCAGTTTCCTGCCTGCTGGACCTTCAAGGAGCCAATGACATGAGCGACCGTCGCGCAGTTGCCAGCCCCCTCAGGGAGCCCCGAGGTATGGGTTGGAGCTGCGCGGCAGCCCACACTGCTGGACCTCCCAAGAGCCCACCATAGTAGCGACAGTTGCGCAGTTGCGAGCCCCCCAGGGAGCCCCGAGGTCTCGGCTGGATCTGCGTCCACTCCACTGGAACTCCCAGGAGCCTACCAAAGTGGCGACGGCTGCGCAGTTGCCAGCCCCCCAGGGAGCTCCGAGGTCTCGGCTGCACATGCGCGGCAGCCCACTTCGCTGGACCTCCCAGGAGCCCACGCCAGCGGTGACAGTTGCCCAGTTGCCAGCCGCCCCAGGGGGCCCCGAGGTCTCGGCTGCATCTGCGTGACAGCCCACTTCGCTGGACGCTGGACCTCACAGGAGCCCACGACAGTGGCGACAGTTGCCCAGTTACCAGCCATCTCAGGAAGCTCCGAGTTCTCGGCTGCATCTGCGCGGCAGCCCACTCCGCTGGACCCCCCAGGAACCCGCGAAAGTGGCGACAGTTGCACAGTTACCAGCCATCTCAGGAAGCTCCGAGTTCTCGGCTGCATCTGCGCGGCAGCCCACTCCGCTGGACCCCCCAGGAAACCACGACAGTGGCGACAGTTGCGGAGTTGCTAGCCCCCTCAGGGAGCTCCGAGGTCTCGGCTGCATCTGCGTGACAGCCCACTTCGCTGGACGCTGGACCTCACAGGAGCCCACGACAGTGGCGACAGTTGCCCAGTTACCAGCCATCTCAGGAAGCTCCGAGTTCTCGGCTGCATCTGCGCGGCAGCCCACTCCGTTGGACCCCCCAGGAACCCGCGAAAGTGGCGACAGTTGCACAGTTACCAGCCATCTCAGGAAGCTCCGAGTTCTCGGCTGCATCTGCGCGGCAGCCCACTCCGCTGGACCCCCCAGGAAACCACGACAGTGGCGACAGTTGCGGAGTTGCTAGCCCCCTCAGGGAGCTCCGAGGTCTCGGCTGGATCTGCGCGGCAGCCCACTCCGCTGGACCTCCCAGGAGCCTACGACAGTGGCGGCAGTTGCCCAGTTGCCAGCCCCCCAGGGAGCTCCGAGGTCTCGGCTGGATCTGCGTGACAGCTCACTCCGTTGGACCTCCCAGGCGCCCACGACAGCGGCGACGGCTGCGCAGTTGCCAGCCCCCCAGGGGGCCCCGAGGTCTCGGCTGGATCTGCGTGACAGCCCATTCCGCTGGACATCCCAGGAGCCCACGACAGCGGCGACAGCTGTGCAGTTGCCAGCCCCCCAGGGAGCCCCGAGGTCTCGGCTGGATCTGCGTGACAGCCCATTCCGCTGGACTTCCCAGGAGCCCACGACAGTGGCGACTGTTTCGCAGTTGCCAGCCACCCAGGGAGCCACGAGGTCTCGGCTGGACGGGCGTGACAGCCCTCTCCGCTGGACCTCCCTGGAGCCTCTTCCAGGAACCCACGCAAGTGGGGGCAGTTGCGCAGGTAGCGGCCCCTGACCCAGAACGGGCAGGAATTGGGAAGCAGTCTTGGCGGGAGATGGGAAGCGAGGAGGAAGGGAGGACATCAGCCTACCGAAGGAGCAAGCGCATCTGCGTGTAGAGCGCGCAGGGCGACCTTCTCGTCATATATTGCGCGCCGCGGGAGGGAAGGAGTGGGAGCTCCCTACGGGGGAACGAAACCTGCGAGGGCTGTGCAGGCATGGAGGGCGAGGACCCCATGCGCGCAGCCCGACTGAGCCCGTCGGTGGCGCCCTCTGTTGGGAATTTACGTGTGAGGGGCGCGCCAGATTGAAGCCGGATGGAAAGCGATGAGGAGAAGCAGGACACGCGCGAGCAGTGCTTTATTCAAATCGATAAAGCTACGCAGTAGGGTTAGGTGAAAACCGAGACGTGCCTACATCCAAGTCTCCCACATGGGGTGCGATATGCGGGATCGAACGATGGCGCCAGATCGCCGATGCAGCGGCGATGTGGCTCGTTAGGCAGCCCGATTCTCTCCGAGATAGCGGTGTCGAATGCATCGCCGACGTCGCCGATGCATTGCGGCTGTATCGGCGATGCGACGCGGTCCTCCAACCCCATCCAGTCGGACCCCAACTTGGGAGCCCCCCACTGCAGTGGCCGCTTTCGGACCCTGGACCCGTCCAAGAACCAGACGGGACGAAAGACAGACCCCGGGGAATGGCTCGGAAGATGAGAAAAGCATGCCGGAGGTCTGGGAAGGCGTATTGGACATCGGAGATGAAGTGCATCTACAGGTTCGACCAGAAAGACAGGACTCCAGTTTTCTAGCAGAGCCTGAATTCGCATGGGTACCTTTCCAGGGCAGAACATGTACCCTGAACTATCTTACTCGTCCCCTGACGCGTTCTGCACCACCTCCTCCTCATCATCGTCATCATCATGATCATCAGCATCATCATCATCATCATCAGCATCATCATCATTATCATCATCATCATCATCAGCATCATCATCATCATCATTATCAACATCATCATCATCATCATGATCCTCATCCTCATCCTCATCTTTATTCCCCTTCCGCATCCTCATCCACATCCTTCTTCTTGCACACGGCCAGGGAGCGGAAGCGTGTATGCTCACAGCCTCATCTTGTTTTGTCATATCCCTCCAATAGCCTCAGGCTCGCAGTGCGCCGCCGCCTCCTGCCGCCTCGCCCAGGAAAGCAAGGTGAAGAGGTTGACGAGGAGATGGCGAGGAGGAGGAGGAGGAGGAAGTAGGAGGAGGAGGAGGAGGAGGAGGAGATGGCGAGGAGAAGGAGGAGGAAGAGGAGGAGGAGGAGGAAGTAGGAGCTTTGAACCATCAGAAGATCTTTGACCCCCTTGGACCCCCCCGTGGGTGCGAAAGGTGGGGAGATTCTAAACGCCCCCCACACACAATCCCCCCACTCCCCCCCTCCTCCCTTACTCGCTGCTGGCAAACGACGATGACGAGCACAGGTGCCAGAAGACAACAACGACGATGAGAACGACGACGCCGATGACGACGGACAAGAGCAACGCACGACGACGACGATGGCGACGACGACGAACGACAGGGACGACGACGGCGACGACGACGACGACGTCAACGACGAACGACGACGGCGACGACAGACGACAATGACGACTTTCGACCGACGACGGACGATGACGAGGACAACGATGAAGAACAACGCGGACGAAGAGGACGGACCACGACGACGACGACGACGACGTTGCCCACTACAGACCACGAAGAAGACGAAAAACAGCGGGGACGACGATGACGGACCACGACGTCGACGACAACGACGACGACGACGGACGACGGACGACGGCGACGGACGACGGACGACGGACGACGACGACGGACGACGGACAGCGGACTGCGGACGACGAACGACGGACAACCGACCACGATGACGACGACGACGACGACGACGACGACGACAACGACGACTTCGACGACGACGACGACGACGACGACGGCGACGACGACGACGGACGACGGACGACGACGACGGACACGGACGACGACGACGACGACGACGACGACGACGACGACGACGACTTCGACGACGACGACGACGACGACGGCGGACCACGGACGACGGAGGACGGACGAGGACGATGGCGACGACGACATCGAACGACGTCTCACGTGCGGATACCTGTACGCTCCACACTTTATTATCCTGCCCGCCCAGCTGATCCACCCGCTAAGGCCCGACCGACCCGACCCGCCAAATTGGGGTTTTCAGGTGCCAGCTCGACTACGCGTCCTACTTCAGTTCCCGCCGGCCCGACCCGAACCGACCGTTGGGGTCCGCCCGCCCGACCCGACCCACATGTCAGGGCTCTTACGTGCCAACTAGATTATGCATCATACTGCAATCTCCCGCCCGCCCAGCCCGACCCACCCGATCTCCCCACCCGACCCAGCCCAAGACTTCGATTACGCATATTGTTTTTTTAATCTCCCGTCCGACCCGACCAGTCCTTTAGGGTCGCCCACCCGCCCCGACCCGCCCGCTAGGGTCCGCCCGCCCGACGACCCGCCCGCCCGCTTCGTCGTCATTTTGGTCGTCAGTCGTCCCCGTCGTCGTCGTCCTGGTCGTCGACGTCGTCGTCGCCACCGCCCAGTGTTGGGACCTTCTTGGGGTCTCTCCGTTGCCTCTTGGGGCGATCTTGAGCGGCTTCTGGGCCTTCTGAGGGCCCTCTTGGGAAGTCTCGAGGCCTTCTTGGAAGCCTCAAGGGCCGTCTTGGGACGATCTTGATGGCCTGTTCGGGCCGTCTTGTACGGTGTCAAGACGAAGAAGGTGATCATGCCAAACACGTACGCGGAATATCACAATGTTTGCTTCTTGGAAACCTCGTGGGTCGTCTCGAAGCCATATTTGACCGCCAGGGGGCCACCGAATGCCGCCTCGACACTCTGGGACTGCATTGACGCTTTGTTTGAGCTGAAGCTGATCTGAACCTCAGGGATATCTGTGCCGGCACAGACATCACCTGATCCCAATCTTGCTCTTGTGCATATAACAAGGGACCAGGGCCCAGGCCCCCCGGGCCGCGACCTCTACCACAAATGTGGGTGTTCAGGCTCGTTGGCGAGCCCCAGAGGCCCACAGAACACCACCAGAAAGCGCCAAGAGGGCCCGAAGACGCGCCAAGGGGGACCCGCGACGCCCACAGTCCGCTCCAAGACGCACCGGCCGCCCCGAGACGCACAAGATGGCCCGAGAGGGAGGAGGAGGAGGAGGAGGAGGAGGAGGAGGAGGAGGAGGAGGAGGAGGAGGAGGAGGAGGAGGAGGAGGAGGAGGAGGAGGAGGGGAGGAGGAGGAGGAGGAGGAGGAGGAGGAGGAGTGGGGGGGGGGTAGGGGTTCGCCTGTGGCCCCCAATAGGCCTCCCAGACGCCTCCTGCGACGCTCCCAAAGGCCCTGCAGGATGGCCCCAAGAGGCAAAATTCGCTCCATCCCTCTCTCTTTGGCTTTCGCAGCGTCCAAGACGGCCCAAGAAGGCCCCCAAGACTGTCCCACAGGCCCCCCAGAGGGCTCCAAGACGACCCCAAGAGGGTCCCAAGACGGCCCGAGAGGCCCCCAAGACAGCCCAAGAGAGCCCCAGGACAAGCCCCAGAGGGGTCCCAGAGGTGCACAACCATATTCAAATTCCAAGCTTTCGGCCCCAGAGGCTCCCAGGAGGCCCCAAGAGGTCCCCCGGAGGCCCCAAGAGGCCCCCAAGATGCCCCAAGAGGGCCACGAGGGCCCCGAGAGGCAAACATAGCCACACTCCCTGCACATTTGTACCGTATTCGTGTTTTTTGTCTTCGCGCTGAAATGCGGATAGACATGCGTGGAGTGTGGTTCACTTCTTCAGTGGAGCAGTGAACTCGTCAAGGCCTGGGGCCTGCTGAAACCTGAGCGCGCGCGAAGTGCATGCGATGGTTCTGGTTCAATAGAAGCCAAATCCACCCCAGAGATAAGCATATGGTTTTACCACACAGCCGTTGTTTTTTACGTATTGCACAAGTGCCATGCGCGCATCAACTTGCTACCTAGCACGCGGTTATGATGGCGTGCCTCTGCTTCACATCATAGCCTTGGGACTCGGAAATGTAAAAAAATGAAAGGCGGAATCCACCACTCAAAAAAGGCATCAGAAGGTCAGTCAAAGCCAACATCCATCATACACCGTAATATTGAAATAGCGGAACACGGTGGCTTACAGGGATTCTGTGTTTCCGGTTTGAAGAAGGTTTCTTGTAAAGATGGTGGTTGGCTTCGATGTTTCATGTGAAGTTTCAGGTATTGCCAATTCAAAAGGATGCCATCAATAGCAGCGACCCTTTGTGCAGGCACAGGGACCACTTGGCCCAAGGATTGTTTCAGTTGGTCCATGACAAAACCAAATGAACCCCAAGAGTACCCAAGATCTGTACATCATGACATTATGTGTCTTAAGAGGGATACTATAAAACCTGTGAGAACACAGCGCCCCGCAATTTTAAGACGACGTTATCTGCCTTAGTTAGCGTTATGGTGTTGCGTTTATCTGTTTGTCTTGGTTTGGGTCATGTCAGTTTGAAAATCTGAATCCCCCGCTGAAAATGGCCAGAGCCAATATAAACTACAAATCCCATGTAAACACATAACAGCAGTCAATAAATTGCGGAACTTCTGCTTTCTGCCAGGTTTGATGTTTGAAATGATACATCAAGAGTGTTGATATTATTGGTGTCAAGAGGTATAGAAAGTATTCGCTGGATGTATTGGCTTCCACAAAAAAGGTGCCACAGGTCAGTGGTTTTTTTGCTGGCACACGGATCACTCGTACTCAAGAATTGGTTTGCTTAAAACAACCTGATAATCACACGTGATACCGATGAACACGCAGTGGTTCAACAATTATATGGCGGTTGCGTCTGCTGTGCACGGATATATCGGTTCATTGTCAGTGAATGGCCATGGACATGTTGACATTTCATCCACCAGAATAGAGCGTTCAACGCCAGGCAATAGGAATGGAGCGGACCTCTGGTTCAGAGGAGTCCAAGTAGATGTGCATGGGGGTAGACATCGGAACCCAATGGGAATGGAGCAAAAACATATCCATACGATTTCAAATATACTTGAATTGAAACCCAACAGGGGATCGATAGGGATGGAGCAGACCCCAGAGTCAGAGGATTGCCTTTGCATTCGAATCGGAAACCAGCAGGGGCACACAAGGAATTGGAAGAGGCACCGGATTCAGAACAGTGCAATGTAGTCGGGAGCCTCGAGACGGGGGTCAGTGCCAACGGGGGTCAGCCAGGGCGCCGGATCCTGCAGGATCCTGCGAAGGCCCCCTCTGGCTGACCCGGGTTAGGGAGCCGCTCGTGGCCGCGAGGCGGCCGCGCGTATTGGCTGACCCGGGTTTGCGAGGACCTGCGTTGCAGTTTTTTTTTCCTGCATTGCAGTTTTTGGTTTCCTGCTGACCCGGGTCTGGATTGACCCGGGTCAGAGGATCCCCGATGTAGTTTGAACAGGAACGACCACCACCTCAATCATTCCCTCGGCCACCCCTCCACCATCACAACCCTGTCGGGGCAGAGGTGGTGGTGGTGGCTGTACGGCGCGGTTTGGAACGAGCCTGCGCCGCGCACCTCATTCGGTTAGGCGTTGGCTCACGTACGAGGGGTTCGTCATTCCTGTCCGCGGAGAGCTCGGTTTTCCGCCAGGTCCTGAACATAGGAGTCGTGATAAGGGGAAGGTTGGCAAGGAAGGGAAAACCGAGGTGGCCCTGAGGGAAGAGGAGAGGGGACAGGAGGAAGAGAGGGGAAACAGAGGGACGGGGAGAAAGGGGAAGAGGCGAGGGAGGACGAAGCCAGGCCGGGAGGGCGGAGCAATGGGCAAGCTACACAACGGAGGACACCACAGGGGGAAGCTTCGAGCTCGGGGGCCGCGGGATACCTGAACAGGAATCGCAGAACGACGGGTTGTTTTACTTCCACACCCTTCACGAGCCAACCGCCGCCGACCGCCAGCAGAGGGCGCCAACAGAAGCAGCCGCCGACTTACCACCAACATCCACCAGGAGGAGGAGGAGGAGGAGGAGGAGGAGGAGGAGGAGGAGGAGGAGGAGGAGGAGGAGGAGGAGGGGAAGAGGAGGAGGAGGAGGAGGAGGGAGGAGGAGGAGGAGAGAGGAGGAGGAGGAGGAGAAGATGAGGAGGAGGATGAGGAGGAGGAGGAGGAGGGGGAGGAGGAGGCGGGGAGGAGGAGGAGGCAGGGAGGGAAGAAGGGACGGAGGAGGTGGAGGAGGAGGATGAGGAGGAGAATGGGAGGCTTCGAACGACGTTCTCTCCAGCCACCAGGAACCAGGAGGAGGCGGAGGAGGAGGAGGCCGAGGATATGGAGGAGGAGGAGGAGGAGGAGGAGGAGGAGACGAGCCCTCAGGAGGAGGAAGAGGAGGAGGAGGAGGAGGCGGAAAACAAACGCCAGAGTGCTCTGCTGCGTCGGCGACCGGTGGCTTCCGGGGACCGTCCTCAGCACCTGCGTGGATGACCCCGAGGACCCAGGCCCGGGGGGCTTTCAAACAATTGACCTGCTCCAGAAGGGGGCCCACGACGACGTCGGCGAGGGCGGCGACGAGCACGAAGACGATAACGACGACGACGACGACGACGACGACGACGACGACGACGACGACGACGACGACGACGACGACCAGCTTGGGGGTCCTCATGGGGCCCGTCCTGGGAGCCTCTGGGTGCCTAGCCAGTCGTGGAGATCTCCTGCAACGCCGGCAGTGGCCACGGCGGCGACCACGATGGTCCCGAACGGCTCGCAGACCCCGCGGATTTCCTGCAGGTTCTCTTGCCTCGGGTACGTTCCAGCAGCTGCTCCTCGCCCAGAGCGTCCCAGGGGTGCCCGAGTCATCCCGACCGGCCGCGGGATGCCCGAGTTATGGCCGGAAAGCCAGGCCGGCTACTCGTAAGAGTAACCTTTCGTTTCCAGGCCTCCTAGATGGGGACGGAGGAGACGCGGTCGGAGGGCCGTGCCGCATCGCCGATGCATCGGCGATGCATCGCCGATGTGGCTCGATGGGGCTCCCACTTGCCTCCTCGCCGATGCATCGCCGATGCAGCGAGATCCTCCGACCCCATCCAGGAGGCCTCTATCGCCGGCGTGGCACTTTGGCGCGCTTTGGCGCGCGGCTTTCGGGTGGCGTGGTGGGGCGCCGCAAGCGAGGCGCCACGGTCGCATCGCACGCGACGAGCGCCAAGCCGCGCATCGAAGGTCACCTTTGCATAGGTCACTCTTGCGCGTCGGCTGGAATGCTGTTTTGGCACGCCTGAGGTTATTCAAACGGTTGTTTCCCAACGACGCATTCAGTTCCCGCAGTGGAAATGAACCAGTGTAGGGGCCTATGAAGAATGAACTTGAAGGGAGGGTTTATTCGAACATCTTTGAAGAGTCGTGGGGTTACACTGGTCCTTTTCCTCCTCTTCCTCCTCCTCTTTCTCCTCCTCCTCCTCCTCCTCCTCCTCTTTCTCCTTCTCCTCCTCCTCCCTCATATAGTGCACGAAGCTCCCCTTCTGCTTGCGCATCTCACGAGATGGGGTCACTGCGAGGATCAAGGTCCTCTGGGACATCCCAGTCGGCGGATTCAAAAGAATTCGTCACAATGGGTGGCAGAGGCAGAATTTTAGATGTGACGCGAGTGCTCCTGGCTTGCCTTCCATACTCTCTTCTCTTCGCCTCCTCCACCTCCTCCTCCTCCTACACCCCCGCTCACTGTCGGAAGCAAGAGTCCGCAAAGAGGGAGTGAGGTTGGGCCTTGGACCCACATGGTGCGCTCAAGAAGGGCCTTGCCTGCTAGGATCCAAGAAGTTGGCATCCCTGCCTCGGCGGAAGGCGGTGGAAGGGCGACGGGAGCTGGAGGAAGCGAAACGAGGCCGCCTCCGCCAGCGGAAGGTCGGCGGAAGCCGGCGGAAGTAACACACGTGCCCCCAAGAGATGACCACATTTTGGGGTCCGGGTTTTCTGGGTCAGCCACATGTGTTGTGGACCCCTTCCTCCCTCCCCCCGCGCGGCCGCCCTCGTCTTTTTTTTTTTTCTCTCTGGAACGCCGGACAGTTCGCAGCTCGTCTGCCCCGATTAGCCGCACGTTGCAGCGGACCGCCTCTGCCTCGCCGCCGACGTATATCAGGAGGAGGAAAAACACACAGACACAATTAATCGTCGACCCCCCAGAAAATATAGGAAAATATGGGAAGTGGTGGGGAAGACAAAAACCCAGAAAATATGGGAAAGTATGGGGAGTCGTTTTATTTGTGTGTATTTATTTGTGTGTCCCAGAGCCCCGTCAGAATAAAGTCTTGCGGGCCCCTCGCAGGTGGAGAGCGCATCCCGTACGTGGCGAGGCACTCGGCGGGCCCAGAAGACTGCGCCGCCGCGCGCGCCGACCTCCGCTCCCTGCCGATCGCTGGCCGGCTCGGGCGGGTCCCGGCCTCTCGCTGTCGGAGCTCGCCGCAGGCCGGGTCCACGGGCCACGCCCCGTCCCTCCGGCCCCCTGGCCGTGGTAGGGAGGGGCACAGGCGTGGAAGCCGTCGATGGTCGAGGGGAAGAGGGACATGCAGAACAGATCGAAGGTGTTTGGGGATCTCGGGATCACTGTGTCTGTCTCTTGGGGCGTCCCTGGGCCCCGCCGCAGGGGCGTGGGGGAGGGAAGAGCTTCAGAAGGCATCGCCCGGTCAGGGCCCGTCCTGGGCCCGCGGGTGGCGTGGCCAGCTGCCCGTGGCAAGCCCCGCAGCCGTGCCAGCCCCGCATGCCTGGTGGCGGCTTCCGCCGGGCGTGCCACTTGGCGTCCCCGAGCTCGGGAGGGGCGCGATGGGGATGCCGAGGATGACGGGGGCGGGGGCGGCGAGGAGGGGCGGGAGGAGCAGGAGGATGAGGGTGAAGAGGACCGTCACGCGCGACACTTGTCGTCTTCACTTCTTGAGGAGCTCTCACGGACCTCGTTTGTGCCGTCCTGGTGATCCCCTGGGGCTGCCTTTGGTCCCTCGTCGACTGGCTTTCGAGGCCCTCCTCGGCCGTCTTGGGGCTCTATTGGGCGATCTCGGGGAGCGTCGAAGGGCCGTCTAAGGTCATCTTGGTTCTCTCTGGAGGCCCACTTGGACCATGATGGGTTCTTCCTGGTCGGTTTTTGGCCCTTTTCGTGGCCTCCTGTGCTGTCTCGGAGCCCTCTTGGAGGCTTTTTGGGCCGTCTTCAGCTGACCGAAGTTGGACAAGGTGAGAATGCGAAGAGCTTTCAAACCTTTGAAGACAAATAAGTTTTCGCATTTTCGGACCCCGTTGGGGTTCTTCTTGTTGCCTTATTGGGCGCTCGTAGGGACATCTTCGGCCGTCTTGAGGCCATCTTGGGCCGCCTTGAGGCCATCTTGGGCCGCTTTGAGGCCGTCGTGGGCTGTCTTGCGCGCATCTTGGGCCTTCTTGGCGGCCTTGGTTGCCTGACAGGGCCGTCCTGGAAGCTCGGGAGTGCGGAGTCATCCTTTGATGTGCGAGGGATCCTGGCGTCGGGAGCGCGGATCCGCTGTTTGTCTTCACGGGGGACCGTGGCCTCGGGAGGGGGGGGGGGCGGCGCACGCAGCTGCCGGCGAGTACATAATGGGGGGGGCCCATCTCCTCTCTCCTCGCCCCCCCCCTCCTCTCTCCTCCCTCCCCCCTCCTTTCCCCTCCCCCCCTGGCCGGTGCTTTGCCGTCCACCCTCGCGCTGCACCGGTATGCCTGTGCATTGCAATCCGAGGCACGGCGATGCCCGAGCGCTTGCACGCTCCTGCCCTGCTTTTTTCCTGATCGCATGTGTTGTTATTTAGCTTGCCAATGCGCCGTCTGGGCGCGGCTTCTTTCATTCATTCATTCATGGGAAATTGCAGCGCAGAGGGGCACGTCGCGAGTCACGGGGGAGTAACGGGGGAGGCAAGGGCAGCGCAGGTCGTGCATACTTGTCGGCGTGCCCTTCTGTATGGAGCGTTCGTGCAAATATCCGCCCCGTGTGGAGAAGGGTTGGGCATACCTCTCGGGCAAGCTCCTGTAAGCGAAGAAGTCTAGGTGAAGACGGACGCGCTGCCCGGCTTCGATGGCAAGACGATCTCGGCGCCTTGCGACCATGACGGGACCATCTGCCGCGAGAGGTGTTGGCACGAGGAGACCGAGCCGGAGCTCGCCAAGTGGTCGGCCCCGGTTTTGCCGCCGCGCCTGCGGAAGCCTCTGAGGCTCTCTGCCCCTCCCCCCGCCTCGGCATCTTCGAGCGTAACTCTGGATCCTGTGGCGATAGCGAGCGTTACCAGGCGGGGGATGGGGGGCGAGGAGCTCGGGAACGCCTCTCTTGATTTGGCACCGGCTGGGAAAGATCGAGGGACAGCTAAGGGCAGCTGGGGTTAGCAGAGAAGTAGCAAGTAGGATGATCAGAGAAGAAGGAACTACTTGAGATGCTCTGAACATGGTCGGTGAAATTCATGAGAGTGGCAGGCTGCTGTGGCACGGGAAGGTACACATACAGTGCTCACTAATGTACGTGGTGCCCGCAGGCTGTTGTTGTATTGGCAGGGTTCGGCAGATTGTTGTGCGTAATTGCCGGTGGTGGTCCCAGGGTATTGTGGTAGTGGCAGGGTCCAGTTTTCCTCGCCGTCTGGTGGTCGGTAACCCGTTGCGGCACTATCCGTCTCGGTGTGGTGTTCGCGTTTTCCCATGGTGCTTGCAAAAGAGCGTTCTGCATTTCCCAACCATCCTGTGGTGCTGGGTCCTCGTTTTGAATTAGAAATGCCCCGCGCCAACCCCCGCCTCCCCATTTACGACCTTCTCGCGCATCCCCCGCCGCCCTTCTTTACCTCCTTACCTCGGACACCCCTCGCACGCTTCATGGCCCTGTAGGGAGCTCCACCGAAGGCCCCGGTTGCAGCACCCACATGCGTGCCCACCCCCATTTCGACACACCATTCTCACGTTTCGTGGCCCCATCGGGAGCTCCACCGAAGGCCGAGTGGCAGGGTCCGCATGCGTGCCCGCGCCCATGTCGGCACACCCCTCACACGCTTCGCGGCCTCATCGGGGGGTCCTCCGAAGGCTTGAGCGGCAGTGTCCGCATGCGTGCCCACGCCAATTTCGGCACACCCTTCGCACTTTCGGCACGCCATTTTGTGCCCACGCCAATTTCGTGGCCGCATAGGGAGCCAAGGCATCTCCACCAAAGGGCCTGATGGCAGCGCCCGCATGGCTCGAGTCGAATTGATTTTGTGGCGCGCTACCCAGATGGAGAGGGTCTCACCCTACGCCATTCGTTGTCTGATCGCCCCTCTTCTTCGTATCATATGCCTTGCGGTACTCGCACTTGTATATGGTTGTGCCACTCGTCAGAACAGTTTGTTTAAGTAGGATAGGGCGCAGTATTCCTAGTGGGCGGCCGGTCGAATGGGGCAGGGGGTAGCAATAACGAGCAGTGAGAAACCCATCCACACATGAGACGAGTGGGGTTGGAAGAGAGGAGGCATTCTCAACGAATTGACCTTTGATGGCTGGAGGGGTAGCAACTCTCCCTGGCAGTTCCTTGCCGTCCCATTAGTCCTGGCTCTCCTTCCCTATTCCTAGCCATCGCTGGTCGGGGAAGGGGGGTGAGGGCGAGGGTGAGAGGGGTGGTATCGGGCGTTAGCTCTTGCAAATGGATTCCAGACGCGCTCCTCATTCTGCCGATTTTCCCCCGAGGGTGGGAGACAGCAGTCCCGAGGGGCGTGGCCCAGACTGGCGCTGGTGCTTCAGATCAGTTGTCTCGGGCCAGGGAAAGCGGGGGCTGGTCAGAATCTGACGCCCTGGATGGGGGAGGAGGAGGAGGAGGAGGAGGAGGAGGAGGACGAGCAGGATTACGACGAGGGACGAGGGACGAGAGGGGGCGTCTGAAAGAGGAGGCGGAGCAGGAACACGGGGACGGAGGAGGAGGAGGAGGAGGCGGAGGAGGAGGAGGAGGAGGAGGAGGAGGAGGAGGAAAAGGAGGAGCGAGGAGGAGCGAGGAGGACCGAGGGGCCCTCGAGCTCTCGCGCGCGCACGCCCGCCTCTCTCGCGGCCACGGCCAGCACCCCATTGCGGCCCTGCCTCCGAGCCTCGAGAGGTTCGCGCTCGGCGACGCGGTGGCCATCAGGACACGCGCGCCGCTCCCCAGGGGGGGAGGAGGGGGAGGAGGAGGAGGAGGAGGAGGAGGAGGAGGAGGAGGAGGAGGAGGAGGAGGAGGAGGAGGAGGAGGAGGAGGAGGAGGAGGGAGGAGGAGGAGGAGGAGGAGGAGGAGGTGGCTCGCGGCGGGAGAGAACAAATCATCAAGACCTGAGGCTCCTTCGGCCCGTATGGGGCGCCCGGGCCCCGGCACCGTCAGAAATCCCTCCTCCTCCCACCTCCTCCTCCTCCTCCTCCTCCTTCTTCTCCGTAGCCATTTTGGCTCAAGGTCCAATGTTCCCCAGGGACCAAGTGGATACCGCTAGTCCGCGGCAGGCAAGACCCTTGTGGTCTGGCAGTGTTTTGCATCGATCCGCGTTTGGGCGGTCGGGTAAACGGAGGCGTTTCCCGTTCCTGGCTGTCCGATCGCACTGCCCATTCTCTCATGGGATTACCGACAGAAGCTGACAATCAACGGTTGGCAGATGAATTGGAGGCGGCCCCCACGTTCCCCTCACAAGAACGAATGATCAGCTCTGGCAAGGGGGGCAAAGGTGGTGCGACAAATGTTACTTCTCCTCGTCTGGCTGGTCCTCCTCCTGCTAAACGGCGCACACATGCAACTGGAGATGAAGGTGATGAGTGGGATGGAGATGACTATATGCGAGAGCTGTGCAAAGCTGAGCTCCTGCCTCTCATCGAAGAATGGAAGGTACATGTCAAAGATGAACTTGGCAAGTCTATCAAGGAATCAGTCGCTGCTGGCAACAAGACCGTGCTTGAGCTCCTCGAAGCTGTTCGTCAGAGAGTACAGGATAACCAATCCACCATGGACGAGAAGATCATGTCAGTCGTCAGGCCACAAGTGGATGATGTGTCACGTCGCCTCCAAGCACAGCTTGATGAACAACGGGCTCTCATCGGGGATCACGGTCGCCGCATCAACGAGCACGACTCAGCTATCGACGCTCTCAACCGACGCCTGGATGACATGCAGCGAGCCTTGGCGCTGGCTAATGAGCGACCACAGCCCCCTCCACGTGTCCCTGCAGGCTTCGACCGCGACCCCGACGGCTCGATCATTGTGGCTATGTCGCAGAAGCACACCTCTGTGGCCCATGTACGTGAGACACTCATGCCTTTTTATTGGTGGGCTGGGATTTGAGGCATCTGAGTATGAGATCAAAGCGGCGGGGGCTGAACCTGCCAAACGCTTCGTGGTGGCCTTCAAGGGCGCGGTGGCGCCTGCGACCCGCAAAGCCCACACGGTGCTACAGAATCTCAAGGTGGACAAGCAATGGCGTGAGTTCTCGGTCGGTGTCACAGGTTCGACAGATTGCAGGCTATTCCTCGGACCAGACAAGAGTCCGAAACAAGTTAAGACAGAGATCCTTCTGCGGCGGTGTCGGTCGGAGATCGCGAATCTGTACCCTCAGGCTAAGTTGTTCACGGACCGTGAAAGAGGATGTTTGTTGGTGGGCTGGGACAGAATTCTTAAAGTGGAAGTCGGGGCTGGTCAGGAGGAGTCTAAGATCCATTGGGAGCCCAATCGTATCGCAAAGAACAATATGGACCTCGAGCGGCTGCGGACATGCACTAAATGCCTGGTCGAACCCGCAGCTGAGGAACAGTGGTGTCTTTAATGTTTGGCATCTATTTCGTCATTGTGCTCCTCGTACTGGGGTGCCTACTCGTCCTCTACGATTCGCATCATGGAACTGCCGCTCACTACTCCAGGCGGGTGGGCAGAAATCTAGCTTGAAGAAGCACTACCTCTCTCGCTTACGTTTGCAGGAGACCGTGGTGGCCCTCCAAGAGGTTCGTCAAGACGAGCTCCAACTGCAATCATATTTACGGGCCATCGACCCCTCTGTGCATGTTGAGTCATCGTTCGGGGACTCGCTGATCCGTGGAGGGGTGGCAGTGTTGATTCCACCTTTGCTATCTTCAGCAAATGGGGAGACTCATGTTGAGTCGCAGCCTGTGGTGGCAGGCAGGGTCATTCGTGTTGCTATTCGTGCGCCAGCAGCTGGGCTCATCATATACAATGTACACAACCATGAGCTGGATGCTGGTACTGTGCGTGATATCGTTCGTCGAATTCGATATGATCTCTCATATGCGGAGGAGTTTCCTGACAAAGTATTAGCGATGATTCTGGGCGACTTCAACTTTGCGGCGGAGGAGGCGCTCATTCTGGATTCACCTGTGGCCGCGGTGAAGCAGTCAGAGCGGCGCCATCATGGTCGTGCTGCGATTTGGAAGCAGGCCTTGGGGGGCATGCTCGAGCTCGAGCACTCGCTCCCGACGCACTTCGATCGCCATGCGGGCTCGGAGGCGGCGATCGACCGCATTTTCTGCTCCCTCGCCAGCTGGCAGGCCTGCCAGCTGTTTGTGATGGCGACGACCTTGGACGCTCCTGCATGTGTGTCGGATAAAGGGATCTCGGATCATGCTGCTATTATTGTCTCTATGACCCCGCGCAGTGCACGACTGCCAGAGACTAGGTGCGCACCCAAACTGGTTTGTCAGGACCCTTGGTTTCAGAAGAGGTTGGAGGGGCTCGTGTCGGACTCTAAGTGGGATCTCCTGTCGCCCCCGTTCCAGCTGGAGCACTATAAGAGCCTCGTGACGATCGCGGGGAGTGAAACCACAGACCAGATGTTCAAGACTTTCCCCGAGCACCCCAAGACCCTTCTCTTGCTCTCCAGGATGATCGCGCGAGTGATATGGCGTCAGGACTGGCTGCTGGCTTCCCGTATTTTATCGTCGCATAGCCTGGCATCGGCACATGCGCGGGTGGAGGGGCATCCTGTGGCACTACTACACCCACCGTCATTCCAGCAATGGTGTGCACAGGTACAGCGGGATGCTGCCGACCTCGAGCGATCTGCGTTGTCTTCGTCTGCTTCGGCTTCGACTCCTGGGGCTTCCTCGCGCTCGACTCGAATGCAGCTCAGAGCGCTTGAGAGGAAAGCTCGGTTGTGGTCGCCCATTGGTCGTCGGCTAGCTCTGACATGCGTGCGTGAATCTGCTGATCATATCGTCTCGGAGCCTCAGGAGAAATTGAGAGTTCTCGGTCAATATTGGGGCCCCGTATTTGCTAAGAAGTCGTGGGATCAAAATACTGCGTGTTCCTATATTCGTCAGTGGCTCCCGCCAGTCGGTGATGTTCATCTTCCTCCGCCTTCCCCTCGTCTGCTGCGACGTGCCCTGCAGTCTGTGCATGACTCTGCCCCTGGGATCGACGGGGTGCCATATGCTGCCTGGTCTGCTGTTCCGATGGGTGCCAAAATTCTGTGGAATGCACTCGAATGGCAGTGTGATGGGCAGGTTTTGTTCGACAGTGCTAATGCCACGATCCAGGCCTTTCTACCTAAAGAGATCGCCGATGCCGAGCTGCGAGATGGGTCATGTACGCGGAGCCCAGAGAAGGTGAGGGTGCTTGGCCATGTCAAAATCATGTCGTCGGTGATGAACTATGCTGTGCGCCCCATACTTGGGGTGGCTGTGCCGAGCTGTCAGCGTGGGTTTATTCCGGGGCGATTTTTTTGAGTCAATGTGTTGGAGCTCGATGTTCATGCGCGTTGCCAATCGGTTGCACCGTCTGGTTCCCTGGATTACCCTGTCCTGTTTTCTCTGGATTTCGGCCAGGCGTTCCCCTCCCTCAACCAGGACTTCCTGATGTTCGTGCTCTCCTGCCTCGGCCTCCCTGACATTCTCCCCACCTTCATTGAGCGTTTGTATGAAGCTATTGAGGGTGTGGCGTCGTTGAAGGGGGAGTTCGTGAGGTTGTTTTGGATTCGGAGTGGTATCGTGCAGGGTGACGCCCTGTCGGGCTCTCTCTATGCTCTAGGGACAGCTGCCTTCTTGTGGGATCTGGCTGCGTGTATTGACGGGGACATGAGGGGCCTCATTAGGGCGTGCGCTGACGATATAGGTGGGGTCCTCTCGGCAACTAGACATCTTGCTCATGTATATCGAGTCATGACGCTGGCCGAGGCTTTTGCAAATCTTCAGCTGAAAGCCGCCAAATGTAAAAGTGGTTCCCTTATCTGGTCGGTTTGATGATTCTCTCCAGGGCCGTGTCAAAGATGCCATCGCTCATGTCGTCACACGGTGGGCCTCGTTCGATGTTGTCCCTGAGCTACTGTACCTTGGCCTCTGGCTGGGCCCGGCTGCAGACTCGAGAAGATGCTGGATTGATCCTATTGCCAAGCTTCGTCTTCGTGCCCTTGCCATCGCTCATGGGGTTACCCCAGCCAGTGTCTCGGCGATTTTGTATAACCAACGTGCAGTGTCCACGTTATCGTACATATCGCAGTTCTGTTGGCTCCCGCCGCCATTATTACGGCTCGAGCTCTCCGTCCTGGCGCAGGTCTTTCGTGTTCCCTTGGGCGCGTTCACACTTAACAGCTGGACCCAACTGGAGAAGTGGGGTTGCCCTCGCGTGCTCAGGTGGGGACATCTCAATACTGCCTCTTTGGTACAGTCAGCACTATTGACTTTTCCACAACATACGGAGATATTATCCCGTTTGCGCACACATGTGGAGGCTCATCCGATGTGGCACTCCTTGGATATGCTTGGCACGGGTCGTCTCTATCCTAGCTTCTGGAAGGCGCCCGCCTTTGTGGAGACCCTGGCTGGTGTCACGAATGGTGTGGCTATTGGACCTCGTGAGTGTCGGATGGTAGCTTGTGCGCTACCCGTGGCACATGATGCTCTGATTCCGCAATTGGGCAAGCGGCCGCGGCCCCAGCGTGCTGCTCATCGTGCTCTTCGTGAAGCTGATGAAGTGGAGGCGCCTCTGGTGTCGCTGCTGAGGAAACGCCTCGGCAAGCTTCTGCCTCGGCATGTGGGCGCACTCGATGCCATACAGTGGGACGCAGTGCAGGCGGTCCTCGCCTCTTGCCCGTACTCGTGGGCATGGGCTGCTATGAGGACGTGGATGGATGCGCGGCTCACGTCGAGTCGGATAGTGCATCCCTT